ATCTTTAGTTTTGACTAAAGCTGTGAAGTGTAGGAAATGCAGCGCAGACCATCCAAGACCACCCATTTTTCAGAATTCCTTAAAGCCTCCAGGGAGCAGAAGAGTTAATAAAACACATGAAGCTTGTTTCAAAAGCTGGTATACATAAATGTGTCCACCAAAGGAAAAGTTTACATAGCAGTTTATGTAGATGATACAGTAGAGACAGTATATAATACTTCGGAGTTGGAGTGTTGAGGATGTCTTATATATGGACCATCACATTTGTGCTGTTAGGTTTTCTTTTCTCCTTTTTAAAATAAGCCTTCATTTAAGTTTTGGTAGCCAAACGCTATCTCAATTCTTTTGTTTCTGTGAAGTCCCATTGCTCTCAAGAGCACTGTTCAGGCATGAGAAACCACACAAGTTTCTATCTAATTTTGAAAACTACTTAGCGAGCTTTCAGACTTAGAGCCTCAGGACAGTTTTGCGCAAATATTAGATGTTAGTGGACATTGTATACTCAGGGTCTTTCTCCAAAAGGCCTTTCCCAATCCTCATTCAGATATCACTCTCCCCACGAGGAGGAAACCATAGGTGTGGCATTGGAAATTTTTTTTTTCAGCAAACCAGAAATTAATTCTCAGCATCACGAAAGTTTTCATTTCTATCTACAAATATATAAAATTATTACCAAAATAACTACTGTGACCTAGCAGTAGTGGTTAATCTGTAAAATGTGTTTTGTGGCTTGTTGAACACTTTTGAAAGTAAATAAGTGCTTGTTTTTCATAACAAAATGAGTGGTTTGCTGCAGTTCGATGACTCAGGACAAAATAATGGATCTTGGAATCACTCATTGTCCTGTGTTGCCAGTGTAAATCTGGCCAAGATGCATAATGGCTGAAAGCTCTTGCAAAATTAGTGTCTGCTCAATGCCTTACATAAAATATATACTGCCTGAGGAGAGACAGCCAAGTCACAAATCTTACCACTGTCATTGGCATCCACACTGGCGATCTCAGAAGAAGTCAGCTTTCTGAATGTCATGAAAAACGAGGCGATGTCTCCAGGTCAGGACTGTGAGACAGATTGTTATTGAAAGTTTGAAGGGCTCTTGCATTTCCATTTGGAGCAGCTGGGGTGGAAAATGAACTTTTAAGATGGAACTTGATCAGTTCGTGAAAAGAATTGTATGATATGACTGCATGTCACAGCAGAAAAATGGACATAGTGACACAGCAAATAACTCCACAGTTATGATCCTGACTGCTAGTCTTATTCTGTGGGCAAAAAAAAAAAGAACAAAATCATCAGGATTGTCGAGGTAGCACCTTTTTATAAGCTAAACTTCACAGTTATTTTTGCAGCAGCGATTCCTTTGTTATAAGGGGACAGAACATGAAAAGGCAAATGTATTCATTCTGTTCAGTCAGTCAAACCAGCACTTCCATAAAACCTTTTATGCAAACTGCTAAGGGCACTTTACTATCAAATAGAATAAAAGCCAAAAATAAGTTTAAATGCCAACTCAAACAAATACGTCGTGCCAAAGACTCAAAATCATATGAATAAGGACTAAGGAGTTCAGCAGATTTGGAACATAATGCTTTAAATAAGTCTTAGTCTCCAAATATACCTGTCAATATGCAGAAGAGATAATAAATTATCATAGCAGGATTGAGAAGCGCATACCAGAATGTGAGGAATACAAAGGCTCTGGACTGTCCCTGCATGGAGTAAGTCCATCTGTTATGCCTATTTGTTTTTTCTAGGTGTAGGGGCAATTGCACTGGTTAGATTCAGAGGAGCAGGCGCTAGCTGACTGCTGGTTTCTTGCAGTTTCTTGTTTTCTTCTAAAGTCTGAAGAAAAGTCTTTGAAATCCTCAGAATTAAGGATACGATGGAAGTATAAAACCAAACCCATTTTTCAGAATGCTTGACCACCTTCAATTCTTGTTCAGAGGTACTCAAGAGAAGCAGAGGGACACACCTTGCTGTTTTGGTTTTACCAGTTTCATGTGGGTGAAGCTCTGAGGGAAGGTGTAGTTAAGCAGGTCAGCCTGAGTCATTCAGCTGATTTTAGAAAATATTGCTCTAATACCACAATATGGAACAACCGCGTGCTGGAGAGACCCTGATTTTCAGTTGTCATCGAAGCTGAAAGTTTTCTAAATGCTTGCAAGAAATGGTAGACTAAAACCGCTTAATAAAAATGAAGCCCATGAATGCTTCTTGCTACAAAACCCAGTTCAGAGTAGCGTAAGATTTCTCTTACTGTATTCTGAAATCCGCACTACGGACAAAGGTGAGGACTACCTAACAAGACCATAGCACACAGAGGGAGCTACTGCTGTGGCAGAAAGCTTGATGCATTTCAGAGGCAGGGTACTTTAAAATACCTCCTGTTCAGGAAGAGGCAAAGCTTTGTGGTCTTAGACTGAAGGACATCTCCCGCACACACACATTTTTTTTTTTTTAATGAAGGATAATAGAAGTTCTGCAAATGCAAACTTTCTTTTGCACAGACATGTTGTCTTAAAATGAAGACAACATATGTGGTTTGAATTTCTAAACCAAACAGTTCAGAGATCCTCCTCGGAAGAAATATAGCGTCTCAAGGGCAGTGTATATTTTGATTGCTTCGTCTTCTGAAAGTTGCAGTTAAGCTAAGGTGTATGACAAACGGAGAGAGAAAAGTTTAATGATGAATGCACAGAAGTCAATAAAAGTTTTCCTGTTGACTGCACTAGAAGAAGATTCAGTACATATACCATTCATGAATTGAACAAATCGGTCCTAAAAACTCAGGTTGGCTGCTTAAAAGATCAAGCAAATAAAGGAATAAAGGCACATAAGCTGTTTCTGTGTGTAAAAAGGTTGTGGGTTACAGGATTAATTTTTTATAGTATATCTCTATACCCTGAATAACCAAGTAAGCCTTAACTTGTGGAATCTTAATAGCCATCTCATTGCTGAAGTCTAAAGGAAACCCAGAGGAAACTTAATAATATTAAAAGTTATTTTAAAGGGAGTTCACATTGGTTTGAAGGATATTTTGCTTCTCACACAATATCCACCATTGTAAATTCAGAGAACGTAGATTTAAATTCAGAAAACCTCCACACATCTCTACAGCCCTCAGTATATAAATCTAGTAGTATTCTTAAAATGTCCACCAGTAAGGTATTAATCTTTTAAAGATAAAATTAAAATTCTGAAAGTCATTGGAACAAAAAATAAAGAAAAACAGTAAAAATATTCCCTCTAGAAATGAGGGGAAACTTGGAACTTTGTTGTAAGAGGCTAGTTTGTCCATGTTGCAATGAATAGAGAATAGTCTGTACAGTTTTTCATATCTGACTTGCAACAGAAGATTGGAACATATAGAAATTAATGTTACTGAATTATTTAATAGTAACTCAAACACATGAAAAGAAGAATTAAAGAAACACGAGACTAAAAAGCCATTTAAAATGAAATCAGAAGCTTCAACAAATATATTTTTCCCTTGCAGTCAAAAAAGTAATTATCAAAATTGTTCAGAATATGTTGCCAATTACTCTGCTCCATAACTGCTAACTTTCTCAGTTCTTCTCTTGCCTTTGCTGGGCTCTCTGTCACTGGAAACATCTTAAACCAATTTAAAGTGCTACACCTGAATAAACATGTTGTAAAAGTGTTTATGTATTGAAGTGGGTCAGTTCAAGGTATGGTATTTGGCTGGAACTTCTAATTTCTCTTTTTACTGCAAAAGGGCTGCCAGAAGGAGGAAGTCTGAGCTGAATTAATACATTTGTTACAGTGGAAGTAGAATGGAAACTACTTTAACCACAAATCAAACTGCCTCTTTCATTTACGCCAGTGATAGAGTTTTTCTAAGAAATATAGACTCTGGCATACAGCCACTGTAAGTTTGTGTTTGAAAAGGAAACCTATATGCTTATTTCTATAAGGTTTACTCCTATGCTTATTTGCAAGTTCTTTTTCAGGATGATTGAGTTAACAGCATTATATATTTGTAAGGCAGATGCTCCTTCCTTGCCCGCGTAGCAAACTTTTCCAGTCGGTTTAGAAGGATCCCCAGGCGTCCCGATGCCACGCAGCGCACGCGGTGCCTGTGTCCATACCTTCCCGTTTAAAGGACCTCTGTGTCCCCCACCCAGCACAGCTGCACAGCTTCACATGACACTGTCTCATTTTCTGACGGTTGAAGGGCTCTGCATAATACACGTACGCACAAAAGTGTTTATGCTGCCAAAATAAATTCTGTTAAGAGCAAGGGTTTATTTGCTAAAATGTCACTGATGCAGTTTCAGTGACTTGTTTTGCTTTCTCTTCTTTTACTGAGGTTTAGATCCTATAATATAGTGAGGTTACTGCACAGTCCTGACTGAACAAATATTTTAAAGAAATATGCACATCCCCTGGGAACGGAACCAGAGTCAATAATGTACATATTTCAAACTCTGTTCTCTTGAACGACTGAATGCCTTCCTACCTTTACTAGTGAATGAACATCAGTTTAAGTAACACCGCACAATATTTATTTTTAAAGCAGAAGTATATTTATTATCTACACTTCTCTTTGCTACCGATTTGCTTTGGGGATATAAGGTTCCATATCTCACACTCAAGTGATGCAAAAATTAGGTGACTGCATTACATTATCTTTTCGAGAGCCTATAGACTTCAATGGGGCTCATTTATTTTTCATTTCTATACATGCGTACATGAGACTGAATTAAAATATCTGAGTAATGAATAAGATATACAGCGCACAGAGACCACAATTTTATGCAATGACAAACTACCTGTAAAGCTGCTGAAACTTTTGTAAATTGTTGAATTTTTTGTCTTTTAAGTTCCGTTCAACAAAACGTGGTTAGGATTCTTTATCATGTAAATTCAGGATTATGAGCAAAATCCTTGCCATGCTTCAGTCAGCAGTTGAACTCCCACTGTGGCTTCAGGAGGGGCAGAAATTCACCTTTTAACTTACAATTTCCATTACCTTATAGGTCGAAGTATCAATGTTAAATCTGCTGGCCTGATTGGAAGACACGGGCCTCAGTCAAAGCAACCATTCATGGTTGCGTTCTTCAAGGCAAGTGAAGTGCTTTTCCGTTCTGTCCGAGCAGCCAACAATAAAAGGAAAAATCAGAACCGCAACAAATCCAGTAGTCATCAGGAGTCTTCTAGGATGCCAAGTGTTGGGGGTAAGATGAAGCTATGATTTACTAGTCTGTTAGAGGAGTTATGGGCACCTGCTCAAATACAGTGGAGTCACAGCAGCTTAACAAGATTCTGCTCATTGGCTGAACTGTCAGAAACTGTGTTCCTGCTCCATTTCTATCTGCTCCCCTAGCTTTGCTTAAACCTCTTTTGTTATGTTCGCCCTGAGCATGATCTACCTTCTGTGAGTCAGGCCACTTAGATGTTTCATGGGCTCCTGGATGGTGAAATGCCCAAGTAGATTGGGAAAGACTGCACCTGAGCTTGAAACTTGTTTTATGTAGTAGGCAACTGGATGGGATCTTTGCTACGCATGACGAAAAGGTAGAGAGAGCAGAGAGAAGGGTTGCACCTCAACTGCTTGTCAAGGAAGCCTCAGCAAAAGACAGTGTTTGGACTCTTGTTTAACTGTCTCTCATTTGAGGAAGCCAAGATGTAACATAAAAATCTGAATACTGGAAATAAGGAAGCTTAACCAATCTGTGAAACTGTAAACTGTTTATGAGTTCAGACCAGCTGACACATACTGACGTAAATACACAGCGTATCTCTGAAAGGGAGTGAATTCGATCCCTTATTTACCTGAAAGGTACTGACAATAATGCATGTAAAAACATTGTTAGTCCCATTAGAGCCTGGAGTAAGTTTTGCTCCGATTCTTTCCTGAAATGCTCCTTCAGCTGGAGGCACAAAGTCACTTTCTAAATATTCTCATTTCTGAACAAACATTTCTACTTTTCAGGGACAGCATGGCAGATCACAGAATCATAGAATCACAGAATCATAGAATCATAGAATCGCAGAATACCAGGTTGGAAGGGACCTCAAGGACCATCTGGTCGAACCTTTCTTGGCAAAAGCATGGTCTAGACAAGAGGCCCCACCCCCCGGTCCAGCCAAATCTTAAAAGTGTCCAATATGGGGGAATCCACCGCTTCCCTGGGGAGATTATTCCAATGGCTGATTGTTCTCATTGTGAAAAATTTTCCTCTTGTGTCCAATGGGAATCTCCGCAGGAGTAACTTGTACCCATTACCCCTCGTCTTTTCCATGTGACTTCTTGTGAAAGGAGAGTCTCCATCTTCTTTGTAGCCACCCT